GACCCGGGGGGTACATTCCGTCCTTCTACAGCCCCAAAATCGCCTTCTATGCGGGGCTGCGGAAGCCCCACGAGGGCTACGAGGTGCTGCGCTTCGACGACGTGGTGACCAACGTGGGCAACTACTACGAGCCCTCCAGCGGCAAGTTCACGTGCCCCCTGCCCGGCATCTACTTCTTCACCTACCACGTCCTCATGCGCGGCGGGGACGGCACCAGCATGTGGGCAGACCTCATGAAAAACGGGCAGGTAACGCGGGGAGAGACCCCCGAGACCCCCGAGCCCCCCCTACCCTCTGCCAGCCCCACGCCTGTCTGTATGCTCCCCCTCCATCCCGGTTTTCCCCATCCAGGTTTTCCCCATACCGGTTTTCCCACCCAACTTGTGGTGCCTCGGTTTCCTTGTTTACACCCGTCCCGTTTTTTTGTTTACACCCATCCTGTATTTCCTGGTTTGGTTTTCCTTAATTTTAGCTCTCCCAGCCTGGTTCTCTCTCATTCCTGATTCCCCATCCCGGTTCTGCTCCCCCCCAAAATCCCCACATCCCATTTCCCCCATCCAATCCATGCTCCCCCATTTCCATCCTCTCCCCCCAAAATTTCTATTCTCTCCCCGTCCATTCCCGATTCCCCACCCCCAGTACGCTCCCCTCCAAATCCCCACATCCCATTTCCCCCATCCAATTCCCATACACTTCCCCCATTCCCGATTCCCCATCCCAAGTCCCCACATTCCATTTCCCCCATGCAATCCCACCCCCAGTTCCTATCCTGCTTCCCCCCTCCCTGATTCCCCATCCCCAGTTCTGCTGCCCCTCAAATCCTCACGTCCCATTTTCTCCATCCAATTCTCCCCAATTCCCTCTTCCTCTCACTCCCAATTCCCCATTCCCAGTTCCTCCCTCCCCCAGATCCCACATTCCCCCATCCAATACCCCCCAGTTCCCATCTAGATTTTCTCCCATTCCTGATTTCCCATCTCCAGTTCCTCCCCCCTTCCCACATTCCCTTTCCACCATCCACTTCTCTCCCAACATATGTCCTTTCCCCCACATTCCTGATTCTCCATCCCCAGTTCCTCCCACCCCCAGAATCCTCATCCCATTTCCTCCATCCCGTTTCCCTCATCTAATCCCACCCCAATTCCCATCTTCTTCCCCCATTCCCAATTCCCCATCTCCAGTTCCTCCCTCCCAAGTCCCACATCCCATTTTCTCCATCC